CTCCATTGCGGCGGCCATTTTGGATGCCTCGTTAGCGAGGCAAAACAGCGGTCGCCATTTTGTTTTAGCGGCGGCCATTTTGGAACTGCCGATCAGCTGTTCGCTATGCTTTGATCGCGTCCGCGCGATCATCGCATAGCGAAAAAAAGCCCATAGGGGCCATTGCTGAGCGAACGCTCCAGCGATGGCCCGGGACCCCTCGTTGTGCGGTTTCATCGCATAGCGAAGCGTTCGCTATGCGAGGCACCACTGTAGTTTCATATTAAATCCTAACCCCTAATTTTTTAAATTTGTACCAATACTTCTTATCAAGCCTTGCTTTTTTATCACCATTACAAAATGTATTAATTATATTTTGCCAGTCTTTCAAATCTACCTCTGACAACTTTACTGATAATATCATAAATAAAAAATTAATTTTAGGTCATATCTTCATTTTACATGTTGCTCTTCTTTGCGACGGTTTCAGATAGGCTAAAGACTATGTCTGGAATCCTCTTGGCAAACCCAATCCTGATGGCAGTTTTTGGCTATGAAAACCTCTCCAACTCACTCCCACATCCCAAGGGTTCCCAGGGCAAAAGGGAGCCGTAGGGTGTGTGTGTGTGTGTGTGTGTGTGCGCGTGTGTGTGTATGTGTGTGCCTGAGAGAAAGAGAGAGAGAGAGAGGATAAGATATCTTCAATTAATTTCAATTAAATATTCCTGCTATGTGAAAAATTTGCAGACTTCTCACTGTATTGCACACATCTGAAAGACAAAAGAATGAATTTTACCTTGATTTCTCTCTGTTAATGGTGTAGATTTTGTACAGAACAAGGAGTAAGGCCAAAGAGGTCACAATAATGAGGAATATCAAAAATCCAATCAGAGCTTTAGCATTATCTGTTTAAAATTTTAAAAAAGAGAGTAAAACGCCTCTATTAGCACAAGTTTCAAAGGAATGTCTTTTTTTTCCTGCTTTATGTCTTTAATATGGGAATTGAAGCAATCAGGAAAAGTAAAATAATGATTTAAATTTTAACTTACATCTGGTGCTTACTGTTGTACCTTCAGGGTCAGAATAATATTCTCCATTGAAAAAAATAACCTTATAAATAGGAAAAAAAAACAATAAATTAAAGCTTTTTTAAAAAAAGTGTTATCAAAGATCACATACAAGAGATAACAAAACAAGGTTTAAAAGTCTTCAAAAATCTTTCAGAATATTGTCTTCTATTAAACTCAAAGACACCAATTGTATCCTTAGATCTTGACGTCAGAAGGAGCAACTAATAATAGTAATTAATAATTATGTGCCACAAAGTCACTTCTGACTTATGGAGACACTTTCCAGGGTTTCCTAGTACTCAAAAGTGTATTGGTAGGAACTGAACTATGCACCTTGCCCAAGACCACATAGGCTGGCTCATCCCCCACAAGGCACAGCAGAGAAACGAATGATGGGTGCTCCCTCTTACTGAGCTATTTAGTCAGCAAGGGGCAGCTTGTTGTTATGTGCCACCAAATTGCATCCAAATTAGGTCAACCTTAATAGGGTTTTCAAGATGTATGAGATATTTGAGAAGTGGTTCTACCAGTCATACCACAGTGAGTTTCTGTGGCCAAGTGGGGATATGAGATCTCCTGAATCCTCGTTCTTAGTGTGTCCCTCTATCCACTACACCACACTATGCTGTGGATAGTCCTAGTGTGTCACTCTACCCACTACACCACACTGACTCTCACAAGGAGCAACTATGGATCAACAACCCTCCACTTTTAAGCAATGTACAGCTCTATAACAAAGGCCAATGAGTAGAAACGAGCAGGAACTGTGGTTGGGTAGTGTGGCCCAGTTCAGTGCATTGCTCATACAGGTATTCCATAGGCACCATGCATTTATCTCCCCAATTTCCCTTGTGATCGCTCACTCAACAGTAGCAGCATGCTTCCCTCCTCTGCTTTCTCCACACAATGATCCACCCA